CTACACCGACTTATCCAAAAGGTTCCTGCAGATGATAAGATCATTATTCTTGGTGATTTCAATGCCAGAATAGGAAAGAACTCTGAAAGTTCTTTCTCTGAAAGAACTAGGGAAGGAGTACTAGGCAAGCATGGTGTTGGAAACTGCAATGATAATGGTCGTCTTCTGCTAGAGTTTTGTGCAGAGCAGCAGCTTACCATCACCAACACTATCTTTCAGCAAAAAGATAGTTTGAAGACAACCTGGATGCATCCTAGATCCAAGCACTGGCACCTCATTGATTATATCTTGGTCCGACAGAGAGATATCCACAATGTTCGTCACACCCGCGTGATGCCTAGTGCAGAATGCCAAACAGATCATCACCTTGTGTGCTGTAAACTTAACCTCCACCTTAAGTTCAAACCTAAAAAGGGTGGCATTCCAAGAAGGAGACTTCAAGTTAACAGTCTTCAAACAGCTACAGTGAGAAACGGTTTCCAGGCAAATCTTCAATCCAGGCTTGAAGTTCATCCCACAGATCCCTCTCCCGAAGTGCTTTGGCAGTTTATTAAAAATAGCATTCTGCAGTCCTCTGAAGAATCCTTGGGGTTCTCCTTCAAGAAAAACAAGGACTGGTTTGATGAAAACAATCATGAGGTCCAGGAATTGTTGAGTAAAAAGAGAACTGCTCACCAAGCCCACCTTGCTCAACCATCTTGTCATATAAGAAAAGTAGCCTTTCAACTCACATGCAGAAACTTCGTCTCATCCAGAACAAGTGGTGGACCAATCTAGCAGAAAAAATCCAATTATGTGCAAATACAAGTGACTACAGGGGATTCTATAAGGCTCTGACAACAGCCTACGGTCCTACACACCAGGTTCAAAGCCCTTTACTCAGTGCAGATGGCCAAATACTTCTCACAGATGAAGTTTCCATTTTGAATCAATGGTCTGAACACTTTCAGACTCTCTTCAGTACTAGCCGTGTAGTTCAAGACTCAGCAATGCAGTACATTTCTCAACAACCTGTGAAAACTGAACTTGATACTGCCCCCACCATGGGAGAAATTCTTAAAGCAATACAGCAGGTGAAAATTGGCAAGGCAGCTGAGTTGATGGAATCCCACCTGGCCAAGCACTCCATGCTACATTTCACGAATTTGTCGTGCGCTGTTGGGAACGAGGTGAACTGCCTTCAGACCTTCGTGATGCTGTCATCGTCACATTGTACAAGAAGAAAGGAGATAAATCAGACCGCTCAAGTTACTGAGGTATTACTCTGCTCTCAATTGCTGGTAAAATCCTTGCAAGAATTCTTTTAAACAGATTAATAATACCTGCCATAGCAGAAGAACTTCTACCTGAAAGCCAATGTGGTTTCCGAGCCAACAGAGGTACCACAGACATGGTATTTGTTCTCAGACAACTGCAAGAGAAGTGTCGGGAACAGAACAAAGGACTCTATGTTACCTTTGTTGATCTCACCAAGGTTTCGATACTGTGAGCAGAAAAGACCTGTGGCAGATTTTGGAACATTTAGGATGTCCCATCAAGTTCCTCAAAATGATCATCTCACTTCATGAGGACCAGAATGGTCAAGTCGAATATGGTGATGTACTTTCTGAGCCGTTTCCAATAGCTAATGGTATATAGCAAGGCTGCGTTCTTGCACCAACTTTATTCACAATCTTCTTCAGTATGATGCTCCAAAGGGCCATAGCAGACCTCGATGAAGAAAACAGTATCTACATTCGATATCATACTGATGGGAGCCTTTTCAACCTAAGGCGACTGAAGGCCCACACTAAGACCTTAAATCATCTTGTCCGTGAGCTGCTTTACGCTGATGATGCCGCCCTCATCGCCCACACAGGAGTAGCTCTGCAGCATTTAACATCCTGCTTTGCAAAGGTTGCTGAGCTTTTTGGGTTGGAAGTCAGCTTGAAGAAAACAGAAGTTTTATATCAGCCTGCACCTCAGGAAGTCTTCCACCATCCCCATATCACCACTGGTGAAACAGAGCTTAAATCAGTCCAGCAATTTAATTACCTGGGAAGCATCATCTCCTCGGACAGTAAGATTGATGCAGAAATAGACAACAGGTTAGCAAAGGTGTACAGAGCTTTTGGTAAACTCCATAAAAGAGTGTGGCAAAACAAACACCTGAAGAACAGTACAAAGATCTGCATTTACAGAGCCATTGTACTGTCTACTCTTTTATATGAATCTGAATCCTGGGTCATTTACCGCCACCACTTGCATCTCTTAGAACGCATCCATCAGCGCTGCCTCCGTACAATCCTAAACCTCCACTGGACGGATTATGTGACCAACACGTCTGTCCTTGAACAGGCATCAGTGGCGAGCATTGAGGCCATGCTGCTGAGAACTCAGCTGCGCTGGGCAGATCACGTCTCCAGGATGCAGGACCATCGCCTCCCTAAGATCGTGCTCTATGGGGCACTTGCCACTGGCTGCTGCAAGAGAGGAGCCCCGAAGAGGAGATACAAGGACTGCCTGAAACAATCCCTCAGCCTTGACCATATTGATCACCACCATTGGTCTGCTCTGGCCTCCAATCGGGAGGCCTGGAGACACACCATCTATAACGCTGCTGCTTCCTTTGAGAACACATGCAGGATCACTCTTGAGGAGAAAAGACAATGCAGAAAGAATCGCGTCTTGTCGATGTCACCTGGGGAGTCTTTCTGCTGTGCCTCCTGCAACTGGACTTGTCTATCTCGCATTGGCCTTTTTAGCCATCAGCACGCTTGTAGCAAGCGTGGGTAGAGCCCTTCTCAAATCTTTGTTCACAAAGCCTAGACATGCATCCACCCCGACTCAAGACAACTCTGAGTCAAAATCTGCCACTATATGCTCACCCCATTTTTAGATTCTTTCATAGGCATCTGATACTGGCCAAGGGACCGTACACTAGGCTAGACAGGCCTCCCCGTGTACCCTACTACAGTTGGTTTAGCTTAATTCCAGAGTACCACATTCAGCTCTGACTAATCAATTCTTTCCTGGCTGCATTCTAGCATGGACATCAATGGAAAACCAGAACAAAACAAAACAAACAAACAACCTCCCCCCTCCCCCAGTCATGCTATCTAGCTGAAATAGGTATCTATGTCACATGACTTTGGAGCACATCAGTTTTTCTGCATGACTCCAAAAAAACCCACCCAAACTGAACACACCAAACAAAACAACAGAAAACTTTTAACAGTAAAATTAAAGAGAAAAGCAACTCTTGGGTAAGATGAAATAAGTAATATATAACGTCATGTTTTTCTTTTCAATATAAGTTCATTAGAGAGACTTAAAAATCAAAACAAAGCAACCATCCAACCATCACTCCATGAAGATAAAGCCATGATTCTGAAACACTATGCAGCTACTTAGGGCACTTGTCTCCAAGAGGAACAATTAATTCACTTCAGGTGTAAATGGCACTAAATAAGACAAGGCTTAATTTGGAGTGACTTCAGCTTGCACCAACTGATCAGGACTAAAGAAACTGCAAGAAAGTATTCGCCAGCACTTGCCAACTTCAGTGCATCACATGTCCCACATGAGTTTAATTTTTAATGAATGAACGTATGAATAATCCTGTTATGAAAACAAGTTCATGACCTTTTCTGCATCATGTTACAGTGTCTGAGATTGCTCTCTCATTGCCCAGTGAGTCATTACCAGAGTCTCACACTCCACAGAGGGTTTTCATTAGTTTATGTTAGAATAATAAGAAAGAAAGAATATCTTTTTTTAAAAACAAAAACACCCCAAAACTTTTGTCATTAGTCATATTGTCAGTGATTTCTGGAAAGCCAGAAGATAATACACTGTCATGCTGCAGATATATACAATGGCATGATGCATTATATTGCTAGAATAAGCAATGACTGAAATGTCAATATGGTCAATATATGGTTATAACATAACACACTCAAGAAAGAAATTAACAGCGGTAACTGAAGAAAGGAAGGGAAGAAAACTGGGGTACTTTGGTTTCTCACTGCATTTGCTGTGAGGCTCTACTGAGAAGACATATTTTGTATTATATATGCATTACTAGCCATACACAGATCCTCACTTTCCACAGGAGTGACTGTAACTTAATAGTCACCCTGGGCAGAGCAATAGACTGGTGAATTTTATGAACTGGAATATATTTTACAATTTATTATGTTGTCCTTGTCTGCAGTCCATGCTTATAAAATAGTAGAAGCATGATACGGTTTAATGGCCTAGATCAATACCCATACTCCTCTGTACCTGAGATATACCAAATGAATCACTACAGAGCTGAGTTCCTCCAGTTGTACACCAGGAAGGAAAATACACAGCACAGTACAGAGGTCTGTAAGACCCAGGGCAAAACAGCTTTGAGTTCATGTTTTACACAGTGTTTACACAGCACCCTGTAAGTAATCACACATGTATGTAACTTTTAATTCCTTCACGCAGAAAATACATTCACACTCAACTGCATAAACCCCTTCGATCATATCTCCTCTGGTGCTACCTGACACCACATTACTAGAAACGTTGAAGAAATGTCAGTGTAAAATAAATAAAGAACTGGCCTGATGCTAAAATAATTGTGTTACAACATAAAGCAGTTATAAAACAAGAAGCTACTGAGACAAATAGCGTCACTCACTAGAGATCGAAGCCTTAGGTGAGAGCATAAGCATCCAATATTTCTTTACCCTACTTTTGACACTTAATCTTTTCAACCTTGAGTGAAATCACTCAGGGTGGGAAGAGCTGGGAGAAAGGAACAGTGCTGGTACAACAAAACATCTTTTAAAAACCCAGGCTGGCATCCAGCTGGGAAGCAATTGCAGTAGCATCACAGGGAGAAAATGTGTCTGTGAAACACCAACACCACAACTGGATCTCAAATTTTCATCACAATCAAGGCATCTCTGTGTCAGAAGCTGTAAAACCGTACAAGACTCAGCAGCAAATACATGGTCTACTTTCAGGCAAAACAAAACTGGGAGGCACTAAAATTAGGAGGAGGAAAGTAGAAACGAAGGAAAGATAAAGAAAATCCTGAAAATTCTCTGAGCTGTCCAGTGGCACACCCTCCAAGGGAACTGCTGCCTGGAACTGTGAACATACCACGGAGGCTTGACCTCTACCTATGAAATGAAAGCAAGGCCTAAAGAGAGTTAACCGAAGTATCTTGCTCTGAGAAAACTCTCCCTTCCATACCTGCTCTGCCTAAATTGCTAAAGAAAAATATTTTTCTGTTCCATTCCTTGGACCTAATCTTAAGAAGAAGTCTAGAAACATTATATAGGCGGTCTGAAGGCCATAAATAAAGGCAAAGTAAGCCAAGGAATTGAATAGGAGAAATTCCACTTGAATAGGAGAAACAGACCTAAAGCCAAGGCTTTCTCCAAGCTTATGTGATTGGGGCAAAAACAATGGAAAGTTAGAGAAGTGAAACTGAGGAAAACTACAGAGACCCCAGCCTCAGTGATGAAGAAAGGCAGATGTTACCCCCAGAATTGAGGGTCAAGAAAAGCTCTACCCCAAGCTCTGCCTAAGCTCTGCCTATACTCCACCTATTATCAATGTGTATGATTAGATGTTGCAGTCATATGAACATGTATGTAAGATGTTGTAATCATAGAAGTTAGACTGTATAAATTACCCTGTTTTGCACTGATACCTTCGAACAAGTGCTTTGTGGTGACAAACCCGTTTGTTCCCAACATCGACAAATAAATACCTTTGCTGCTCAAAAGATCGAAAGCTTCTGGGCAGTTATTTTACTGGATTTCTCAGATTCACCTAGCCAGTTGCTTTGTCATCCTCCTCTTCACTGCATGCCTCCCTTACAAAAAGCTGTTCTTCAGAATATTGACTAAAGACATGCCCCAGTTTTAGGCATGACTTTGCACTTTGCCTGCAGTGCTGCTATCAAATCTGCCTTTTCTGGACAAGAACTTTTTATTTTTAAAAATGTTTATCTGTCTCTCCAGGGGTCAGTAGGATTATCTTATTATTATTCAAACAGCTCTTTGAAGACTGAAAGGATTAAATCAACACTAGTAGTACTGTTACTCAGAGAAAAGAGGAAACCATGAAACGAGAGTAGCCAAAACAGGCTAGAAAACTAACATTAACTGTAGATCTCAAATACAGCCTCTTGCAGTAAATCTTTCTGCTCATCCTTGAATTCTTTCCTCGTCCTCAATGCTATATGATGCTGGTATCCAGTGAATGTCTGGGCAATTTGACAACCAATCTTTTGGCCTAGGGAACCTTGTTTTGCTACCCAGGTCACATTATCATTCACACGATTGGCTCCTGGATTGTGGATTTCTTTTCAGAAAGTAGTTTCATGATGGTTTCTCATTCTTTTGTCTCGTAATCACTGGGAAAATCCCTCATTCCCAACAACATGAGGCAAATCCCTCGGCCTGTCACAGCATATTTAATGCTTTTTGTGAAAATTCAGAGGCCAAATGTGGATCCTCAGGGAAGTTCCACATAACTTTTTAATTCAGAGAGATGAGGGAGCCAGCTGCCTTGCTGCAATACTGCTTTCTTCGTCACAGCGCAGACAGGCAGGACTCTTCACTTCCCCTCACAGGATAACCACCCATGTCAAATGTACCAATCCAGGGCTCAAACAGCATTTTTCTCTTCATGAAAAAAACAACAGCAGTTGTTTGACCTCTATTTAAACCGGTACTACATTGCTGCACCTACAATGAAAATCCCAAGCTAGCCTTGGTGCTGTTCTCACCACCTCCCATGCTCCTGAGACTATACTCTGAGAGGTATTTACACATCATAAAACAAAATAAAATGGAAACAAATGCTTCAAATCCTAATTTAAAAAATAACCCCACAAGGAATTAAAAAAAATAAATTAGAAGTACAAGTTAAAATTTAAACGGGAATCAAATGGCAACTGAAGATACAATAGGCAGAATTAGCTGTATGTAAAACATCACTAGATTTAAATATGGCACAGCATGGCTGTAAACTGGAAGGTTTTAATAGAATTCCCAGACATCTTACAATAATATGCTATAATCTATGCCCAGTCCCATCAGTTGTGATAATCTCAACATATACATATTCATATCAAGTGCCAAATCCAGCATTTCTACTTATTTGATATTACCACCCAAGTACATCTCATGTGCACAAAGGGTACAGTGAATGTGCTCCCTATCTTCATAGGCATGTAGCCCTATACTTGTGCTACAAAAGGTAAAGTCTTTATTACTGCCTCATTATATTTCATTCATAAACATAAATATTCAGAGCAAAAAAATTAATGAAATAGCACTATCATTTAAAGGTTGTTTTTTTTTTTAAATCCTGTTCCATTTCCATGAGAGGAAGAAATTGATCAATTTATCTATCACTTTAAAACCTTCTTAAAAAAACACTAATGTTCAAAGATTAATCTTTAGGAATTATTGACACATCCTGATTTGAAAAAGTGTTTCAATAACTTCATGCATTTCCAGTACTGGAATTCCTCCATCCCTCATCTGAAAATATATACTCTCACCACAGTATCTTAAAAGTTCTCTGAAGCTTTCAGTAATGCTGTCACTGTGTAGTTATATTTTTCCTTTACTGAAATTTGACTATTCTGCTCTGTATAAACAAAAAGAGGAATGTAAGAAATAATGAAGACCTGACCAAATTCACATACTATGACAAAGTGTACTGGCAAAAAAGGGTAATGTCTGATCCCCAAACTCCTACAGAATTTCAAATATGGGCTTTGTCACCTTTAATATGCTCAAGAAAGAAGGCCTGCAATTTACCCGCATGTTTCATATAATTGCTGTCAGTTATGATTGGGATATATATGTTCAAATAATCCTGTCAAATTGATCTTCAAAGACTAAAACTTCAGGCTTTTCAGCAATTTTTATAGAACTTAAATTTTTTTCACATCTAATTTACAGCACTGCAACAGGAGACCCATTGCTTAGCAAGAAACTCCAAGACCTGACAGAATAAAGATGAACCAAAATTTGCAAGTGGATTAATAGTAGACATAGGGAATGTTTCTACTGTAGAAGACTGCTTTTCTGTTGTGTCTGTTCTCTCACTTTAATAACTCTTGGAATAACCAGGGAAAGAAATATTGTGAACAGTGTAATCATCATGGTTAAATCCCAGCAGAAACAGATCATTTCCCACTAGGATGAAAAGGGATGAGTGTAAATATGCACAAGAATCATGCAAGTAGCTCTAAAACTGAGCTGCTGGAAGAGAAAATACAGTGGTGAAGAAAGAATTTAGGAATAGCACTGAGAAGGTTTTGGGCAGAAATATGTTTGAAAGGAAAAAGAACAAACAAACAAACTGAAAAGACAAGAGACTAATGAACAGATTTTCCTATTGATTGCAGCTCACATGCAGAAGACAGGAACAAATGAGCCCTAAGCTTGGCCTTGCTACCAGGTTCTTGTGTATTCCTCAATCCGTTATTATGAGTTAGATCTCCATATTTAACAATACTTGGTCTAAATGTCCAAGTTATAACAGTCCAAGATATCACATATACGGGTAATACTTTTATGAACCGGTACTGTCAGAAAAAGAACCTTCTCCTGTGAGATGTTACAGAAAATTAATGAGTCAAAGTTTATGATGATCTTGTAATAATTTCTCATGCCATCTTTTCATTTGCAGATGAGTATCTTCTCTTCCTGATGCAAATTCAAAGAGAAAATAAAACATAGCCACTTCCTAGAGGCATTAAATTAAACTTCAATGTTGGAAACAGCTCTGAATTTACAATGAATGAACCCCCAGTGGTAAGAGTGCAAGACTGTCATTACTATTGTCAGACAAAAATGAAGAAAAGCTAATTGGAATGAAAAAGACAAAAGCTTGAGGTAACCATCGCAGCACAGCTGAATGAAAAATTCTTCCCTCTTGGAAATCTGGTTTTCCCTATTAAAAAAAGAGAAAAAAAATCCATAGAAAGCTGTTCCTCAGATAAATGCCAGTGGGAAAACTGCCTGAAGGTACACAATGAATCACATCAAAACTATTTTTAATACACTCCCAAATCACAGCACAATCTCCAAACTAACTTAAATTTACATTTGCCTTCAACACAGGTCCTGGCACTTTATGACTGCTGAAAAAGACATATATTTTAAAGAATACTTAGAAAAAAATAATAATTTTTTTTTATATTAGTTCTAATACTGTGGAATTAATTTCTAATACATTGAACTGTACGCTATTGGATCTCATTCTTAATAGGCTGGTCTGCTACGAATGTTAATCACCCCGTAAGGATGCAATAAGAATGAAAATCCTGGCTGAAAGCAAAACTCTAACTTCAGGAGGAATGTATGAAAGGCCAGGCACTTAGATCCACATATAGATCCTGTTTCAGGATACCTTCATTTTGTGGCACTATGGTAAGCGACAATTTCTATAACAGTTTAATTAAATTTAGGGGAAAAAATTTTGGGTTTGGTCATGTAAAAGGAACAAATTATGTAAGCAAAATAATATTTAGCCAAGTTTTTACTTATTTGATAAAAAAATTTTGCTATTTTCTACCAATGCTCATCTTTCCTGTATCAAAGTACATATGGTGGAGATATGAAAAGCTGTTCAGGATTATGGAATAACTTGCTCAACTGAAACATTTGTATCTATGATAACCTTAAAAAAACCAATGTAATTGGCTATTGAACTGAGCCAGCTAATTTAGCACTCATAGTTGTTCAAGACCAGAATCACATAATCACCCACATTGGAGGGGGCCTTGGGAAGTCAATTATCCAACCTCTCCAATCAAAACAAGGACAGTTGCTTCAGTTGTTCACAAAGTTACAATGCTCAATCCCTGACTTGGTTTGTATTTACATATTAGTAGAGTAGCCACACAACTAAAAATACTATTATTCTAAAAAATGTAAGAGGCTTAGTTCTGGAGTGCAAGTCTGTGGCCGTGAGCAGATTACACTGTAAATTCTGCAGCTACAAACCAGCTTATTTCTCAA